TGTTGTTAATATTCACCCTCCCAGCCTGATCGTTAGCAACTCATTTGTCCGTCCAACTGTCTTTCTCTCTCTTTGGGCTCTATCTTATCGTTTACTCCCTACCCCACGCACCTCCCTATTTTCTGCATATAAACTGACGTTTTCCCAGTCACCATCAGTTCTGAGGAAGGGTCAGCAGACCCGAAACGTTAACTCTATTTTCTCCTCCACAGGTGCTGCCAGACCTGCTGAGCTTTTCCAGCAACTTTGTTTTTGTTCCTGATTTACAGCATCCAGAGTTCTTTTGGTTTTTTTTTTAGGTAAAAATGCGGGCTGAGCAAGTGGCTGAAATGAGTGATGCGAGACTTGGAGTGGAGCAGCTGTACAGGGCGACGTGAAGCTGACAGTGGAGCAGCTGACGAGACAGAGAGGCTGAAAGGTGGCCAAAGAGTAGGATTAAGCAGGTCTTGTTCTGAGTGGCAGACAGTGGCTAGTGGAATACTGCAGAGATCAGTGCTTGAGCTCCGGCTAGTCACAAAATATAATAATGATTTAGATGAGGAAACTACATGTAATATCCCCACCTTTGCAGATGACACAAAGCTATTTAGGACGGTATGCTGTGAGGAGAATGCAGAGAAGCTTCACTGTGATTTGGACAAATCAAATGAGTAGGCAAATACATAGTAGATGCAGAATAACGTGGATAAATAAATCCATTTTGGTAGCAAAACAGGCAGGCAGATTATTATCTGAATGGCAGTAGATTCTGAAAGGGGATCTACTTCGAGACCTGGGTATCCTCATACTCTAATCACTTGAAGTAAACATGCAGGTGTATCAGATGCTGAAGAGGGCAAATGGTATGTTGGCCTCCATAGCAAAAGGTTTTGAGTACAGGAGCAGGATGTCTTACTGGAATTGTATGGAGTACTTGTAAGAACACACCCAGAATAATCTGTGCAGTTTTGGTCTCCTGATCTGAGGAAGGATGTTCTGGCTATTGAGGGAGGTTTATCAGATTAATTTGTCCATTGAAGGTATGGATGTACCTGGAAAAACTGGATTGATTAGGACCATATTACTGTAGTTTAGAAGATTGAGGGGGGATCTCAGAAACTTGTAAAATATCAACAGGATTAAAGAGGATAGATGCAGGAAGGACATTCTTGTTGATCAGGGAGTCCAGAACCAGGGGTTACTGTCTCAGGATATAGGGTGGACCATGTAAGGCTGAGATGAGGAGAAATATCTTCACCGAGAGAGCGGTGAGCCTATGGAATTCTCTGCCACAGGAAAGTGTTGAGGTCTTTGAAGAAAAAAAATTGAAGAATAATGTAAGTACAGTTCTTAGGACTAGAGAGATCAAAGGATCTGGGGAGAAAGCAGAAGCAGGGTGCTGAGTTGGATCGTCAGCTACGATCATACTGACTGGCGCAGCAGGCTCAAAGGGCCGAATGATCTACTCCTGCTCCTATATTCTGTGTTCCTATGAAATGAAACAACCAAACAGGGAAGGAGAGAGATGTGAATAGAGCAGCTGAATAGGGCAAGGTGAGGCAGAAGGTGAGACAAGACAGGGAATAGTGGAGCTGATGAAGGTGAGGCAAGGCTGGGAACTGAGTAACTGAAGACAGTGAGGAGCCACCTGGGAGTAGTATGACTGAACAAGCCAAGGTAAACTGAAGCAGAAAGCTGACTGGCTGAATCCTGTAAGATGAGGCTGGTGGTGGAATGGCTAAAGAGGGAAAGTAGAGTAGAACAGCTAATGAGGGTGAGCTCATGAACAGATTAAGCGAGTAAGGTGTGGGCAGGGCTAGAGTGACCAAACAGGAAACAGAGTGGTTGAAATGGTTAAAATGAGGTGGATTGGTGAACAGAATGTTTGAAGTGGTCAAGGTGAGAAGCCTCTGGGAGCAGAGCAGTTGAAGAAGGGAAGGTGAGATGAGGCTGGTGGTAAAGCAGTTGAGTGGAGAGGGTGAGGCAAGTCTGAGAGAAGAGGTCAAAGTTGGAAAGGTGAGAAAAGCCTTAGAGGGGATTAGAGTAGCTGAAGAGCTCGAGAAGATATATGATTTGGAGCAGAGCAGTTAAAAAGAGAGAAAGGCAAAGCAAGAGTCTAATTAATATTTCCTTATTCTGCTTGTTTTTAATCACATAGGAATAGACACCTTCAAGCAAGCATTAATGCTGCTGATGCAAATGCAAAACTGAGTGGAGCAGATCATAACAATAAGAAGCTGACTTTCAGATGATCAATCATTGTGACAGCTTTGCACATCATAGTCCCCAAACCCCAACTGCCCCTTCTACTTTTTCCCCACCCTATTTTATCTACCATTTCAACCTGTTTTTGCCCCACTGATTTTAGTTTTTCTTACCTTGACTTTATTTTATCTCCCTTCATCCAGTTTCTTCCGACCTACATCCCTGATTCTTTTCACACCCTCCCTCAATTCAACATTTTCTAGTTTTTTGGCCCTGATTGGTTTGTCTTCACCATGGATATTCAATGCACCTATACCTCAACACCACCCTCAGGATAGTCTGAGGGCTCTCTGTTTCTTTCTTGAATGGGAGCTCCGAATAGTCCCATCCACCAACCACCCTCCTCTGCCTAGTTAAGCTACCCACCCTACTCTGCTTAGTTAAGATTATTCTCACTTTGGACAATTTCTGCCTAAAATTGTCAAATAAAATATGTGGCAATGGATACTTGATGGTCCTAATTGTGCCTGGCTTTCTGTGGCACATGTGGTATGTTCCTTGTTCCAGTCTTAGTGATTGACTCCCATTTCATTTATGACTCTGTTGGTGCTGGCTTCTAAATTTGTCCTGAACTGGAAACTGAACTTAGAGTCTATTGACTCTAAAGCTGAAATATAGATTACTGCCACTGAAAATTTAAACCATGGTACGTTTTAAAAGTTCTATGGTGGAAAATTTACGCTGCAGTTCTCCAGAATCCGCTTAAAAAATTACCAGCAATAGACAAACTTGTTGATGTGTTGGCATTGCTATATTTACCTAACAAACTAGATTATACTAATGATTTAATTATTCATCCACAAGACGATTTCTATCTGTAATAAAAGTTGATGATGGAGAGCAAATAATTGGCAATAAATGAAACCAGTAACAAGTAAATTCTGAACTATATGATTTCCAGATGTGGTGACTAAACTGTGCAAGTGGTGGAAAAGTGCTGGATCCTACCAAAACTGGGAAATGACCCAAATGGTATGAAACACTTTGTAAAGTGTTATCCTTCGAATTGCCCCTTATATTCAGGCTACGATAGAGCACGTTTTCTCCAATGTAGAGAAACAAAACAAATTTCTGATCCCGAAGGTGCAGCCAAGTTTTTA